TTCATTGTAATGATTACAATCTCCTCTGTGCATCATCATTCAACAGAATTTGCTTCCATTCCCTCTTGTTGTTTGTTGTTGTTGTTGTTGTTGTTGTTGTTGTTTGGGGGGGATGTACACAGAAACACTCAGGAATATGAAATCATCTAAACAACCAGAGGGCACATTCTGCAAACCTGCCTCCTGACCGCCAGCACTCAGTCACTCTCTTTCCATGAGTCTAGAGTCCTCACCTCTGCCTCCATCTCTGGTGTCTGGATACGGTCCCACTTTCTGCTTGTGCTCTTCTCCCTTGATGGTCCTAGGGTCCTGTTTCTGGACTGTAAGATTAACTACTCCATTTTTGTTATAAAACTTATACCTTTACAGTTGTGACAGTCTCAATTAGTTAAGATAACAATTACTCACTATTGAATCATAAGAATCTTATCCTCATCTCTTTTCACCAGACCCGTCTAGACAAGATGAAAACTATTCAGTGGGAACTCTACCCTCCCCTACACACTCTTAAACTAAGCTCCCTCTTGAAAATTTGTAAGCCAGTCACTTCTTGCCTTTATTGCCGCCTCATTTTAGACAGCCAATGTCTAAATTGCCTATCCCAATCTACCCTATATACAGAGGGGATAGGATTAATACTTGATGTGAAGACTCCTTCCCTCTCAGTTGGTATTTTGAGCTACTACCTCCATAAGTATAGGTGAAGTTCGTCAAAGTGTAGCAATTTACACTCTTTTCCTTTACCAAAAATTATTTGTTTGTTTTTCAATCTTCCTCTAGTCGAGTTCATCAAGTCATCAAGGCCAGATCAAATGGGTACTATATGCAAGTTTGAGCATTCTTGTGCATCTCCCCTCACTTCATATCAGCTGGATGCTTCACTCTCAGCTCTAGCCCTCCGTGGTTATGTCCTTGTCCATGGGCTCAGGTGTCCTCAGGTCTCACCACACTTTGGACCAACCAGCCCTTCCTCTTCTCCCTCTCATCTCCAGGTCAATGGGAGTCTAGGGAATGTGGTTGAACTCAGCCCATTTCTTCATTGCTGGAAAATGCCTTTTCTTATTTTCTTCCTTGCAGTCTTCCAGGCCAGTCCATCAGACAGGTCTTTCTAAGCTACAAATCTAATCCCATCAATCCTCTGCTTAACTCCCCCTCTAGAAGGGACCCACTGCCTGGAGGTCAGGTCCAAGCCTCCAAACTCTGCATTCAAGGCCCATTCTCCAAGTTACCTCTTGTCATGCCCCTAAACACAATCCCCTTCACTACAGACCCAAATTCTTCTTCCCCTGAAGCACACGACATTCTCTTTCACCTTTGTGCCTTCATCTTTTGTCCAACACCTTCCTGTGTTCATCTTAACCTCCTTGCTCATCTTAACCTTTAAATACACTTCAGAACCAGTTCAAAAGTTAACCTCCCCAGAGCCTTCTCTGATGCTGCTGTTCATCCCCTTCCTCTGGGCTCCATGGTACTCTGCTTGTACCTTTGTTGTAGAATTGCCCTCATGCCTAGTATAGAACTGGCACAGAGTAAACAAACGTCCAATGTTGCTGAATGTCTTTCTTTTGCCAAGGTCAAAACAGACACCACTAAAAGAGCTAGTTTTTGTTGGTGTGTTTCAATCCAAAAGCAACAGCAGTACTAGTTGGTGAGCGAGAGGCACTCTTGCTAATTAAAGAGCCTGACTAAGGAATCAAATTGCTCAGATATGCAGGGCTAGTGGGCTATGCTGTACCTCTGCATTCATGCTAGCAACATAAAGTAAAAGTGTCACCTCATTGTGTTTCCCCAGAGGATACTGGGCCCCATTTGATCATATACATACACTTGTCATTTGATCATATGCAGTCCCTAAATAATCACTGTCCCAAGCACTGCTATAAAATAGTCACGTAAGAGAGGCACAGGCAAGTCTTGTAACTATGTTAGGTAAATATACCATTAATGCAATACCCATGCAAAAAAAGAAAAAAGGAAACCATGGCTAAATCCTCTTGTCAGAAACATACATATGACGCGATACAGAAACATAGTCATGATGAGATAGTAGGAAGCTCCGAATCACAGGTATGCTCACCTGAGGTAAACAATTACAGAACACTGTTTCGGTCTATGACGGTCCATGTAATAAAACCATCCTTTTGGAGTTTAACTTCTCATCCGTTTCCAACATATGCTTCTAGAAGAAGGTGCCTACTTCTGCCAAAGCATGTGATCAAGTTGGCATCCTCAGTACCTCACCCTGGGACCATTCTGACAGAAACTCGGGAAGTGGTGACGTGTCAATAGAGCCTCTCTCGTCTTATGCAGTGAAAGGCAATGAAGGGTCCAATGATGGAGCTAGAGTAAGTGAACTCAAAAGACGGAAGCCAACTCTCAGAGACACAGAGCAGACCCTGGTAGCACTGTAGTGACCTCTTTCTGCCACGTTCAAGAAAATCCCACTCACAGCACACTTGACCCCAGTCCTTCCTGCTTACTCATGCTCACCTTCCATCCCATGCCAAGTATTTCCTTCCTTGTGAGGATGTTTACATGTTCTTAACAAGAGCAGTACAAAATTCTTTAGGAGGCACCAGGGTTTACATGAGTAAGTGAACTAAGGAACTGATAAACAATGACAATGGAGGGATTTTGTTGTTGTTAAGTGCCGTCGAGTCGATTCCGATCCACAGCAACCCTGTATAGGGTTCCAAGGAGCAGTGAGTGGTCAGCTTGAACCACCAACCTTGAGGTTTGAACCAACTCTGCAGTCCAGCACATTGGCCCGCAGCACCACACCAGAGAGACGTAGATAAATTACAGCTCATCCACTTGATACGTTATGTAGCCATTTCAGATATTACCTTGACTGAGTTATAATGTAAAAAATATATGTAGTTATTTCCTGTCATTCAAATTTTAGTGAGTTTGCATTTTCATGACAAGGAGATAAACTATTTAAAAAAATTTTTAATTGATACCCAAAAGTGAAGGATGTAAAAACTGAAGAGTTAACTACAAAAATAGCAAATCTTATTAGAAGACTCTTTGGCCAGTCTTTTCTTTACCTCACCCACAATGGTGTTGTGGTTGTTGGTAAGTGCTGTCAAGTGAGTTCTGACTCACAGCGACTCTATATAGGGTTTCCAAGGAGTGGCTGGTGGGTTTGAACCTGCAACCATGGGGTTAGTAGTCTAGTGATTACGCTACAGCGACACACCAGGACTCACTACTCAAATATTTTCCTTCTTATTCAACTCATGTCACCTCCTCCTAGACGGTTTCCCTGACTACTCCACACCACAAGGATCTTTTACACTGAGATTCTAAACTCCATAATTAGCTCTAGATTTTAAACTGTGTTGTATTTTGCCATTTTCATCTCCCTTAGAAAAATAAAGCTTTCCGCAGTCATGCCTTGCACTGTCATCAGCACCTAAATCGGGTCCATTTGGTGTTCAGTAACACTGAACAAATCTGGGTAAGCAGGTCTTTTCATAACATGCAGCAAACAAGCACACTGCAATGTTGCCACTGACAGCATAAAACTGAGCCAGCCCTTCAGATAAATATTTTGGCAGCAAGATTAACCGGTATCAAATATTTGCACCATCTGCCCCAATAATCTCATGCCTCAGAATCTATCCTAGGGATTTAAAGAGAAGAAAGAAAACTGTCTTCCCAACAATGTTCTTTGTGGCATTCTTTAAATAGCCAAAATGGCCAACAAATGAGGAAATGTGTTAAGTAAAGCATGTGAGATCTAATCAATGAAAGACTATGAATCGCTTAACATGATCTAGCATCGACAACACAGAAAATGTACTTGACAATGTAAGTGATCAGACACTACTAGCACCACTTAACTTCTCATGAAACAGGGAGCCCAGCTACACACGGACTAGAGAGTAATGCTAAGAAACAGTTGCTTTGCTCAAGCAATGAAATTCCTTATTTTTCTAAAATTTACATTATAGCACTTTTAGTGTTCATTAAAATTTTTATTAAAATACAAAAGAATTTGTATTTGAATTCTGTCCTCAGTGTTAACATTTGGATTTCAAACAATGGATCTGGCATGTCTAGCAGCAGCAGTAGCAGCCAGCAGAGGTGTAGCCACTGTTACCTGTGGATTCTTCGGCAGCTCTCCATGCTAGGGATTCTGCCTGCCCCCAGGCTCAGTGCAGGTACTTCAATTAGCCTGCGTGTCACCAATCATTCAGGCTCAGACCCTACCCTCTCCGACTGCATCAGGCAGTCACTTTGGGCGCTACTCTCAGGAAAGGTAAAATTAAAAGTTGCCGATTATGGAAGTTTAAATATAATTGAGATTCTAAAAGGTAATGCATACATATTTTGCCTCGAAATTCAGAGAAAAGGTTTTTAAATGCTAAAATCCAAGGCTGAGTAAAATACAGTATTAAAAATGGATCATTCTCATATAGGGAAACCCAGTACAATCTTTCTGAAAACAATCTGAGGATATGTATAAAGTAGCCTTAAAAATATTCACACTCTTTGACCCAATAATTGTATCTAATGAGGATATAATCAGTGGATAAATGATGTTTGGTGCAGCATTCATTATAAGGCAAAAAGAGAAGGGGGGTGTGGGCAGATGATCAAAATGTCCTACTACAAAGGACTAGTTAGTTAAGTACATTATAGCACATCCAAGTGATGAACTATTATATGTAGGGGGGTGTGGGGAGGGGCACCATGTTTTTGAAGAACCTTCATGACATGGAAACATACTAAAGAGAAAATGCCAATGCCAAACAAAAACCTGCATTTTCAGCTTGATGCTAATGGTGTGTGTGTGAGAGAAAGAGCGTGCTCATGTTTATAAAAGGACTGAAACATCAAATGGTTAACACTGGTCTTTAGCTGATGAGAAGACGAGTGAGCACTTTCCCTCTTTCTAACTCACATATGGACAGTCTACCCTTTCTACAGTGACTGTTGTCCTGTGACAGCCCAGCCCACTGCACTGCCCACCATTTCAGAAGAGTACTCACAAGGATGGTGTAATCGTCTTCCCTCTTCTCCCGATGGGCTCCCTCCAGGTCCTTTTCTAGTCTCTCTCTCTCCTGCTGCAAGTCGTTCAGCTCCTGGGTGACTTTCTTAATGCTTCTACAGAGTCTATGGTTCTCCGTACTCTTGGTGAGGTTTTCTGCACGCAATTCAGTCAAAAGGACTTCCTTTTCTGACAGGGCAGCCTCATAGGCTTCAGATCCCTAGACATAAAGGGAGAGAGGTGGGATGAGCTGATTTTCATACCTCTTTATGCAAACCAAAACCTGTGCTGCATTTTCAATTCTAACTCAACAGTCTTCTTCCACCAGTTTCTGGACTTCAGTCACAACTCCTTCATTCATTGAAATTGTTGTTCGTCTCTCTCCTGTCATCTCTGAGATCTTCCCACATTCCTTAAAAAACCCGATCCAACTAAAAACCATTGCTTTGTGTGAGCAGCATCCCTATAAATTTGTTCTAAAACTTCAGCACATTGGGAAGATGTTTAAAATTTTATATTAGTCCTGATCTCAAAATCTTTTTTTCCCCCATGGCACAAAAAGTATCTCTTTTTTTGGAATATTAATAATATTTTTTTGGAATAACAATACTAAGACATGTGTTATTCCTGAGAAAACTTATTTGCAGTCATATACTGATTGCAGAGACATGCTTAAAACGTGTTTTCTTTGGAATAAATCCATGTATGCATGAATTGGTATAATAGTAGCAATACTTTTTGACTCACCCTTGTATACAGAGATATTAATGCTTACAGAAGTGTGAAAAAAAGGGGGAAAGGGGGATTCATCGTAACTGAAAAAACACACTGAATAAAGGCAGGGTAAACAGCCAATTATTGTACTATCAATAAGTCGTATATTTATGAATTGGCAAAAGTTGTCTGATATATATACTTACAGCAATGACTAAATAAAAGTAGCTGCTGAGACTGCTTATATACAAACACTTCATGAGGTTTAGTTTCTTGATCATGGCTTCATGGGACATCCCAGTTACTTGGCCTAATAAACGTGTTTAGTGCTTCTGTTCTACCTCCTAGTTCACTGTGTAGTACCTGAATTTGAAAAGCTTGCAAGCAGCCATCCAAGGTGCAACAGTCTCCAATCCCCTCTGTTTAACTAACTGCAGCATCACAGGAATAAGGAGAGTCAGGAGAAAGAGGAAAATGTGGAATGTATAGCTAGCTAACTGCCTCCATGAACAACTGACATCTTTGCCATGAGACCAGAAAAACCACTCATGACCCTTTTGATCAAAGATTCCACAGAAGAATCCTGATTAAAGGGGGGAAAACTGCAGAACGTAATTTCAAATTCTCATAGACTCTAGACTTTTCTGGAGCCATGGAGGGTGGATGAATCCCTGAAACTACAGCCCTAAAATCATCTTTTAAGCTTATCCAAAAATATTCCCTGAAGTTATCTTAAAATCAAACAACTGTCTAGCTAAACTAGTGAAAAAGGTCTGCCTAAAAGATAAAGCTTTTATAAGAACTATCTATATGGGCTGAAACTGACAACACCACCACTAAAAATTAGATGGGAACATTAGTGGGCAGTGAGCTTATGTTAATGAGGGAAGAACATTGTACAACTCAAAGAATGTCAACAATGTCCCTAAAGTGTACATGTAGAAACTGTTGAATTGGAGTATGTTTTGCTGTGTATATCCTCAACAAAAAATTAAGTAAAATTTAGGAAAGAAAAACAATCAAAGTAAATCTCTTTACACATAAGTTCACTGGTGATTTTAATAAACCTCTTTATAACTTCTAAATATTTTATCTATTTCCTGTGACATGCATTTTTACTTTTATAGCCTTGGAGTGAGGAGGAACAATACTCTTTTTGAATATAATTGTTTAATGGGTAAGAAGGTAACCAACCAGGCCATACTATAACCTTTACAAAGTCACACCTAGGATTTGAATTCAGATCTCTGTCTCTGCACTTGGGCAGCTAAACCAAGATAATGAATAATGAAATGCTTGTCATTGCTTCAATGTCAGGCTTGAATACCAACCCTATAAACTTTGGCTATTTTACTTGTGATGCAATTAGTTCAATCATACAACAACCCTAAAAGGTTGTGGTGATGGTGGTGGTGGTGATAGTGTGCCGTGGAGTCGGTTCCGACTCATAGCAACCCTGCATAGGGTTTCCAAGGCTATAGATCTTTAAGGGAGCAGAAAGCCTCAGCTTTCTCCCATGGAACTGCTGACCTTGAGGTTATCAGCCCGACTCGTACCCACTACACTACCAGAGCTCCTTTAAAAGGTTGTACTGTGTGAAAGCACATGTACTGACAAGTGTCTGTGAAACAATCATACTCATAATGAAACAGCCAATAGAAGCATGCTGTATGCATTTACTCACACACACAATCATAGTAGTGGTAAAAACATGAGCTTTGGAATTCGATTTGAGTATGTGTCCTGGCAGCCTGTAAAATGGATAAGCAGGCTTCCTCCATGTGCGGCAATTGAGATTAAATAAGGGCTCTCCGAACAGCCAACTTGACATGTAGAACCTGAAGAGTTTCAACAATTCCTAACCAACCATGCACTGTGAGACAAGAAACCTAGCCAACATTGTGCACTGTTGGGGTCATATGCTGGAAAGTCAGCTCCAACTCATAGCGACCCTGTATAGGGTTTCCAAGAGCAGCTGGGGGGTTTGAACCACCAACCTTGTGGTTAGCATGATTAGAAGTCCAGTGCTGATCCTACAGTACCAAACCAGGGACCTCAAATATCATTCCTAAAATCTTTCAATTATAAGAAGGTTAAAAATTAGTCAATCTATACTAAATATGGAGTCCAGATGTGACATTGTAGATAAGCACTGGCCTGCTAACCACTCCTCAGAGACCCTATACAGGGTCACTATGAGTCAGAACCAACATGCCGGCAATTAACAAATAACAACCATACTAAACCTGGGCAACGTTACACTTATAAAACTTTTCTCTCCTTCAGCAACCAAACATAACAAGTAATATTATCATAACGCTTACAAGCATGTCTGATGCCTCTGGTTGTCAACTCACACAATGGGAAATATAGATGATTTTCTTAAGAATTCAGCTTTGAAAACTTATTTCCCAAAGCAAGGGGAAAAAAAAACACAAAAAAACTCAAGTGTAATCTCAGCTCCGTTTCATCAACCACTGTCAAAACAGTGAAGGAAAGCAAGTCTGAGATTCCAAAGTCAGAGATTTATCTATGCTTCCAGCACCCCATGATTTAAACCAAATTACTTCAATTATTCTTATTGTGAACCCAAACTTTGAAAAGATAAGGCATGGGATATGAATCTTAGGAACCAAAGAATCTTAAATTAGGTTTAAGTTCTAACTCCTACTTTATAACCAAGGGCAACATTGGTGGAGAGAGAACGGTGAGCTTTAGACAGCTGAGGAGTTACTCAACTGATGGCGCTATTAGCACTAGGCAGGCACTAGACATGTGAATTAGAAGCACGTTTGAAAAAAAATCATTAAAAACACAACTAAAAGTAGAAAAAGAGAGGGAAGATCAAGGATGTCTAATCAGGAGACTTTGCAGTTCATGCAGGTCAGAAACACTTAAACTTGGCCCTGTGCTCCTCTTCATAGAGAGGAGGGAACAGACACCTGAGCAGCAGGCAAGACTGAAGACTCCCAGTGAAGGGAGGTTGAGGTGACAGGCACAGACTCTGGAGTGGCAGTGGCTCTAGGATCAAATCCTAGCTCTGTCAGTTTTGTGACACCAGGCTAATTACTTGAATCTCTCTGAACCTGGGTTTCCTCAGCAATAAAACCAAGACAGTAACAGTTTCTACTTCATACAACAATTGTGCAGGCTGAGATAATCCATGGAGCGTACATTATACAGGTCTTGGTAAATAGTATGTGTTCAATAAAGAGCAGGTGTTATTACTAGCAATTACTACAGTTAAAGTCTGGCCCTGGCACTTGCTAGCTGCGTGGCATTGAATAAGTTGAATGACCCTCTGAGTCTAACAGACTTCACAGATGCAAGGCAGGCAGAGATCATCGTTTTCCCCATAGGGCTGTTGGTGGTGGTGGTGGTGGTAAGTGCCATCAAGCTGGTTCTGACTCATATTGACCCTGTGGAGGGTTTCTGCAGAGTGACATTAGCAATCTAGTGATTAAACTACAGAGCCACACCAGGACTCCCCATAGAGTTGTTCATATATCGTGTACAGCCTACACCTGGTGCAGAGTAGCTCAACCCTTCTAACTGTGGTAATACTTGGCATCAATGTCATTATGAAGGAAGCTGACTCTAGTCCACTGTTTTCTAAACAGGAGTTATCCAGCATGGAGACTACTGATGACAGAATTAAACAAGCACCCAAATCCCACCAAGAATTTCCCTTTAACCAAGACTAAGACTCAATGGGAATACACGCTCTGATTGGTGACCACACTCGTCACCGATAAGGGGAAGTGAGGGAAAAACAGCAATGAAGTGGCGAGCTAAGCCCTACAATGTTCAGTAGACTTCTGTGAACCCAGGTGAAGACCTGGTTGGCCAGCAGTGTGACAAGATCTGGGGACTCTTGGGCCCAGAGTCAGTGTCATAGCCACAGAGGTCTAGAGTGGAGAGTGAAGCATCCAGCTGATAAGAAGAGAGGGCAACCCATACTAATCCACTAAAGTGGATTCTTAGTTGGTTGCTAGGATGTAGGAGTAGGGATAGGGGTGGGAGGGGAAGGTGGAGCACAGGGCAGGGAATAGACACAGGATAATTTGGGTATTGGGTGGGGGGGGGCAATATACAAGTAAGGAGAGGGGAATCGAAGGACAAAGCAGATGGGAGAACAATTAGACAGGTATGAATGGGCTAAATGGGACAGAGGTAAAAAATGATGTAGGCACAGCTTTGGAACAACAGGGCTCTGGAATACAGAGACTGTGACATGGATGGAATGGGGGAAAAGGGGGAATAATGTTAAGATGCTTGGCTGTCTTTTGAATCATGGTTTTCCTTGCAATATATTATGAAACAGACACTGGAGGGGGAGAGAAAGGAATAACCAGAAATATCAACATGGAAAGCTTGTAAGCTCATCTTCTGCCTATAACTGACTGGAATACCTAAAATGGGGCTACAATGTATCTAGTGAAGGAGGTTTACTGAGGAGCGTCTGCATTACATGGGAGTATAGATGGAAGCCCGAACCACATCCAGACCTTCAGAGACGGGAAATTTTCCACTTGAAAGGACAAGCAGACCAGCCAGAAGCAGCTAGAAAACCATAAGATACTTCTTGAAAGAAGGACCTACAGGAAAAATACAAAACAACAAGGGCAGTCCGACTATTACCACAAGAACATACAAGTTGCTTGCCCAGGAGACCTCAAGGCAAGTGGTTGGATCCTCTCAGTGCAAATTCTCTTCCAAGACTAAGATGCAAGGGAAATATACACTTTGATTGACAACCACGCACGTCACCCAGAATGGGTGACCGAAGAACATCAATGAAGTGGCAAGTTAAGCCCTACATCGTTCAGCAAACTACTGTGAACCTGGGTGAAGACCTGGTCGGCCAGTAGTGAGGCAACACCTGGGGACTCATGGGCTCAGAGTCAATGACACAGCCACAGAGGTCTAGAGTGGAGAGCGGGGCGGCCAGCCAATAAAAAGAGGCCGGACAGATGCAAGAACACCCACACTTGCAGATGATACCCACTTGACCTGGCTTCAATGACTGGATAAACAGAGCTCAACCCAAAGAAGAAAGAAGAGGAAAAAAAGCTCCATCTGATACAATTCGATAAACATGACCTACACCTATAAATGCAGCAGCTCAAAAAAGGAAACAAATTCCTGCTGCAAGAACTATTCCCACCCCCTCCACACAAAGGGTACATAGGAATGGGCAACTTGGACATTGGCTACCCAAAATGGAGGAAGGGATACAAAGGTAAGAAGTGACCGACTTACAAGCTTTCAAGAGGGAACCTAGATCCAAAGGGCATGGAGGAAGGTAGAGTCTCCAGTGAATAGTATCCAGCCTGTCCAGGAAGGGCTGATGAAACGAAATACAGAATGGGTCTCTTGTGATGCAATAGTGAATAATTGTTATCAGGACTGATTGTGAGGATTGGAAATCTAAAGGTGGACATTTTGTAGCAAGGAGGGGAGTGATTAACTTTTCAGTCTAAGAGCGGAGGACCCTAGGAACATCAATGGAGAAAAGCGGAGAGTGGGATCCTACCCAGAGAAGCAGTGAGGCCTGAGATGGAGGCAGAGAAGATGACGTCAAGAGATGGTGGGGCTGGGGACTCGGGATCAGGAGATGGAAAGGGGCTGAGGACTGTGGTGGCGGGGGTGCAGGCTTA